AGTATAAACATTCTGTTTTCTCCATAGCCTTGCCAGTATGTGTTATTTATTGACTTTTTAGTAATAGCCATTTTGACCGGTGTGAGATGGTATATCATTGTGGTTTTGATTTACAGTTCTCTGATGATCAGAAATGTTGAGCATTTTCTTGTATGTTTGCAGGCTGCTTGTATGTCTTCTTTTGAGAAGCGTCTGTCCATGTTCTTTGCCCACTTTTTAATGGGGTTGTTTCTTGTTTGTTGCATTAAGTTCCTCATAGATTTTTTTATTTGACCTTTGACAGATGCATAGTTTGCAAATATTTTCTCCTATCCTCTAGGTTATCTGTTAATTCTATGGATAGTTTGTTTTGCTGTGCAGAAGCGCTTTAGTTTAATTCATTAGTTTAATTTAGTTTAGGTTCCGCTTGTCAATTTTGGTTTCTGTTGCAATTGCTTTTGAGGACTTAGTGATGAATTATTTGCCAAGGCCATTGTCCAGAATGATATATCCTAGGTTTTCTTCTAGGATTTTTATATTTTGAGGTCTTATATTAATCTTTAATCCATTTTAATTTTTGTATTGGCATAAGGTAGGGGTCCAGCTTCATTCTTCTGAATGTAGCTAGCCAGTTATCCCAGAATCATTATTGAATAAGGAATCCTTTCTCCATTGCTTATTTTTGTTGACTTTGCCAAAGATCATATGGTTATAGATGTGCAGCTTTATTTTTGGGCTCTCAATTCTGTTTCGTTGGCTTATGTGTCTGTTTTTGTAATGTGTACTACAATGGCTTTTTAATGTGTACTAAAATAGTCGTTTCTAGGACCTTTTGTGTGCAATGTGTGTGCCCAGAGGTACCAGTAAAAACCCTGCCTCGCCTTCTGTTTCAGTTTGCTACAACTGACGCTGTCTCTACTTCCTACCAAAGCTCTCTTGAGCTTTCCTGTGCCTTTGCCTCCAGCTCACACTGCAAGTCCTTAGTGCCAGATCTCTCTTGATGATGCAAATACATCTGGGGAAGCCCATTTCTGACTCCACTTTAACTGGCTGGAATTAGAATGCTTTTTGAACTTGTACACAAAATATCAGAAATCTTATCCAACTTGATTTTCAAAGAATGGAGTTTATAAAGATATAGACCTTTTAGTCCATATTGGTTTGTCTTAGTTACTGAACAGAATCAAAACATTCCATTTTTCTATAAAACCAAGATAACTATGAAAAAGCGGTTTTTCATATCAACTGATCTATAGAGGCTTATGTTCAGCATAACCTACTTGGTAAGTTCAAACTGGGGATGGAAACAGGTCAGGATGCTAATAAAGTGAAATAAACTTTTTTTTTTTTTTTTTT